GTAGGATAACTTTCATTGCATTAACATGAGACTAAGTTGTAAAATATTTAAATATTGTTAATGGCTAGAGAGGATTTCTGTTCCTCCTCTTGACTATCATAGTGTTACTGCTTGTTATGACTGCTTTGCCTTTAATCAAATACAAGACCCAGTTTTCATGGGCTATGGATGTTGAAACTTTAATTCTACTTGTTGATAATTCACAAGTGACTTTCTTAATTTCTTTTTTACAAAAGCAAAATCACTTTGTTAAAGTTAAATACTGTAAAAACCCTTCATTTAATTTCTTAGAATTTATCAGAAATTTTGTCACTAGGACAAAATATATTTAAATGTTTATTGCTTATATTGTCCTGCTGTAGAGTTAAGAAATTTCAGCTTTGGTGTTTAAAGTTTTAGAGTATTATGATTTTCATACTTTGCATCCTCTTTCTTTGGTTGAATGAGATTTACTGGTAATACAAATTCCTTTCCTAGGCACCCCCTCCCCTACAAACACACACATATGCAATCTCTCTCTCTCTCTCTCTCAGTGAGTAATGATGATTGTCATATACTTCTGAAGTAGATTTTTCTTTTTAAATTTCTCAGCAATAGTTTTGCTTTCAGAATTCTTGAAATGGAAAGTAAGAAAAATCTGTTTTATTGTTTCATTTGAGAGGATTACAGATAAATTTTAATGGTCAAATAAAATTCTAAGTGCTAGCTTTAGATTAAATACTAAAGCAGAATTCTTGTGAATTTTTATCATCAATCTTTTAAAATTATTTTTCAAGCAGATGATTTAAAACTTTTCTAGAGGGGGGGGAAAAACCTGTTATGTTAAAAGAACAATGAAAAAGACGTGTTGTTTGCTTAAAACTAAAATCAAATGAAAAATCCTGTTGAAATTTCATCCCTATCATTAGACACTATATTTGCTTTCAATAGAAACAACCAGTTACTGTCTTTAAGATATTTGTCAATATGCACTCTGCAGCATATGACTGCTATGAACTTCCTCCTCCTCCTAACAACTATCCATCCAGTGTTTAGAGATCTGGATACTTAAACATTTCAATTTCAAGTTGCATTCAGATTTCTTTTGTAACAGCTGGCACAATTTTTGAGAGCTTTTCTCATAACTTCATCCTTCTGTTACATTGGATGACAAGTGTGTGCATGTGTGTAGCGTCATTGAGTTATCTGTTATGCACGTTAATGAGCTTGTCTTTTAACAGATTCCGAATACTGTCTCTTTCCACTGATATTTCTAACTCCACCCCATTCCATAAATCACTTCTTTCTGAACTTGTTTAAGAATCTTGTACTTCACCAATGATTTATCTTGATCATTGGATTAACAACAAAGGGCGGGGCGGGGAGGGGGGTACATCTTTCACACATTTTACTTTGGATACGACAACACACTGTTTCAATGGACCTGCTTTCTCTCTCTCAACTTATTGAATATATATATATATTATATATATATAAAATTTATCCTTTTATTATGCTTCTGTTTGAATCTAAGACAACTTGACGTATTGTTCCATATTTTAAATAAGTTTCTTCATTAAGATTTGGTGACAATATGGCAAGAAAATAATTATTACAAAGTAATCTTAGTTGTATTTGCTGATTTTGTTCCTTGCTTTCACGGCTAAAGTATTTGAAGATGTTTAATTATTTTCTCTTCCCCTGTTTTTTGGACCCTGTACAATTGACCTGTAAAGTTTAATACTAACATTATTTGTATTATAGACACAACTTATACCAGAGCGTTGCTATTCTCTGTGTTGTATTATAAATGCACTTATGCAACAAAAATATCTATTAACATGTATTTATCATTAATTCTTGAAATTGCTTCATTACACAGATTGTTTCTGGAGTTATAATTCAGATAAAGTCTTTCACAATATGTAAAACTACTTGTAAGAAATCATCATTCATTTTCTTTGCATTTATAGAAACATAAAAAAAAACCGAGAGTCATTTGTTGTTAATTTACATTTTAATGGAAATCTCATTCACATGGCTTAATTCTGTCTCCTGCATTATATTCATGTCTTCCCTCTTTGGAGGAATTCGTTAGAGATGTATAGATTACAGGCAGAAAATGTATCCATTTTTATTGCTTTATTGTGTTTATTGCATTAACAATCACCTACTTTGTTTTGTCTGGTTTTTAAATTTCACATTTATTGGTCTGTCAAAATCCCTCTTCCCTGCCATGTTTGCATGTGTGTTTATTTACTTATAGCAAAGTTGATGTCAGACTTAGACCTTTCTCTTTAATAATTTATCCCTCCCTTCCTTCCTTTTTCTCTCTTTGCTATTAATCTATCTCTTAATGATTTTTGCCTCTACTCATGTAAAGCTGACCTGCTTCTGGCTTGCATTGGTAAAACTAATTTTGCTTGCAATAAGTTATAACTTTATTAGGATTATTATTATTTTTTTGTTTGTTTGTAAAGCAAATTCTAGGAGAAAGTTGATGTAGAAAGCAAAAATCTTAGAACAACATTCCTTTTTATGACCTTAATGCTGGTTACTACTTTTTTTTGGTGTCTGCATATGTGAATGAAATCATCTCCAAAATTCATCATCATCATCTCTAGATCCTCTTACATGCCTGTTGTATCAACAGACACAATATGTAAAAGATTCTGCGTGAGTGTCTGATCACTGGTTGCATTTTTTTTGTTGATAACTGCTGCAATTATCTCAACTAATATAATCACTAACACTACTTCTATTAACAACTAACACTGCTGCTTTATTGTAAAATAAATTTTTATTTGGCTTCCTGAAGTGGGGCAGCCATTTTGTGTACAGTCATTTTGTTCAGTTTTTTTTCCTTTTAATAATTATTTTTTGTGATCATTTCAATACTCACAAAAATTTTAGCTGAAATAAAATAATAAATTTATTGAAAACATCTTTTTCTTAATTTTTTTTTTTTTTTTGTCACTTATTTTCATATTTTTGTTTCTCTGTACATTTGCTATTCATGAATGAAAGAATAAAGAAGGTTGCATTTTTACTGCCATTAGTAACAGATCCTTTTTTAATTACCATTTGAGGATCAATCTTAAGAGTTTTCAAATAAAGCAAATAAAATTGCCAAAGTCTATTTGAACCATAAATAAAATTTGCTTCAGTATTAGATGGGAAGTTGATGTGCCAAAAGTCATGGTTTGGCAATATCTAAAGGTAAGGATAGGTGGCATCACTACCTTGATATGAAAAATGCCCAGTCCTGACATAGTGAGCTGGTATGTACAGTGGCAAGGCAACATGGAGTAGTCTAGATATTTGACAATGTTGTGTGTACAAGGAATATCGGAAGGAAGGTCCACTGTGGACAGTACAATGAGTCCTTAATGATTGTGACCACAGGAATCTGGTTTGACATCTGCAGTAATAGACAGGTAACATTAAATCAGCTCTTGTCCATATTTTTACCTTCCATGGGAGATGGAATCAGAAGTCCTATAATCGTGTCCCAGTTGCCAACCTGAGACAGCAGGTCTGTGAGAGGATGGACTGATAGTAGGGCCTGGGTGTGGTGCAGGTTGGGTCTGCTGCTCTGCTTGAACAAGTTATCGACCAGTGACTGCTATAGACTCTGTGCTGATTGGTTATTCCAGCAGGATAATGCAGGCATCAGGCTGAAATTATCCAATATCAGACGAATGGTGTAGCCATCATTGTTTGGCTGGTATGATCGTAACTAAACATGGGATGTGGTGGTGAAGTATATTATTCGCATACAGGATTCTGCACCTGCGAATATCTGGGATCTGTGGCCAGATATCAAGATAGCATAGGTCAGCGTCTCTCCAGAAGTCATCCAACCACTAGTGATATCAATGCTCCATTGAATTGGTGCATTTCGCCAGGGTGGGGTGGGGTGTTTCCTACCTGATAATAAGCACTTTTCCCAATTGACATGTGAGTGTACATAACATTGAAATTTTTTTTTTGTTTTTTAATGGTTTATCAATCCTTTGTAGGTTATTTAAGGTGAAACATTTTTTTTCTTTTTAGTAAGTGAATACTGTATTAACAATTTTGTGAAGATAATGATCTTTCCAGACAGAATCTGTACTATTTAGCTGGGTAGGGGGAGATGCATTTATATTCTTCCTAAGGGTATTTGTGTGAGGCAAATGTAATAAACTCAACTGGAATTTGAACTCGTCTCTCTAATTTCTCAATCTCTACTTTGTACTTGCTGCTGCCCACATAGCAACCAAATTCTGTGATTGTACTCAAGAAATTAAATTAAAAACAGACTGATTAAATAAACTGATTTTTCAAAGTGTAAAAATAAGCAAACATTTTTCTTCGTTGCTTAAAGGAATTCTGTATTCCTTTTCTCAATCCAATCTGTTTAGCACTTGCTCTATTATATTAAGATAGAATCCTATTTACACTTAACACACTTGTAATTTTGAGGTTGTTTAAATGTTACCAATGCAAGAAAAATGCAATTGTAATGATTGTTTTTCTGAAATTAATTTAATACATGGCTGTTAAGTATTTTGCATTCTTTTTCCAGTTTTAATAATTGTAAGCCTTGGGTGTTTAATTAATCAATGAAAACTCTTTTGTTGTATGTGTAATTAATGTTTTATGTCATTTAACAACAACAACAATAATAATAATAAAAAGATTTTGTTCTTTAAAGTGTGTTTTTTTATGCAGGTTGATATACAAATGCAATCAAATAAAATGTCGAGATAAATTAAGACGGAAACCCATATATAAAATACAAACTTGGGCCTGTTAATTTCTGTTGCATTGTCAAAATTTTGCACTCTTTCCTTCCCATGAGCCTTAAAAACAACCTTGATAGGCTTGTATGAAAATTACACTTAGTGGAAATGCAGAATTGGGGAAGACGAGTCAACAAACAAAGAACAGGTAAAAACAATTGGAAAGTCGGTGCTATTCCAACATGGAATAAAGAGGAAGGAATGATTTTTGATAGAATCCTATAAGGAGTTTGGTCAAAGGGTTAGCAAATGCACTCGAATGTTAAGTTTGTCAATTGTCTCTTGGGGCATGCAGAAAACTGGATTCACTAGTTTGACAGAATTATCCCCAAGCAAAGAGAGTCCAGCCAAGCCAAACAAAGTATGGAAAGGATCCACCTGATAAGAAAAGAGAAAAAAAAAAAAAAATTTGTAATTATTATGGTTAATCAAGTGATTCATTTTATACATGCAATATATTTAAGACAAACTTAGAGAATGATAAACAAATAGTTTACTTTATCCACATATAATTGGTTGCACAAATAACAACCTCTTGTAGGTTAACTTATCACTTATTGAAATTTGATGAAAATCATTGCATCACAAACTACCAAAATATGACTAGTAATATAAGAAAAATTAATAGATAATACATAAGTACAATACAGGACACTACAAAGCGAGACTATTATTATACAAGAGAAACAACTGGTATTAAATATCTTTCTCCATAGCAGATGGCATTTTTAAAATGTGCATAAAATATTGAATATATTCATTTCCTGGTGAAACTTTTATACAAGATGTCACTTCTATGATACATCTATAATTAAATTTGAAATGTAATTTTACAAAAAAAAAAAAAAAATGCCAGTCGTTAGCAACTATAAAGAATTTAGAAATGCTATTGTATATTCATATGGTCAACTGAAAAATTACGTCAATTACTTTGAAGAGAATATTTTCACATGTAGAAATATTGTTTGTATTGTGATGACGGATTCACCCGTTTTCTTTTGATTTCTTGATATATTTGTTGAATACATTGACTTGGGTGAGTAGTGATTCTGCTAGATAAGATGTTATTGGTGAAAAAACCTGGGTGTAGATTAATATTTGGGTAATAATCAATGGCAGCACTCTCGAAGATTTTCCTTCTGAGTGAATTATTTTCTTTTTTTATGAGTGTAGCATTTATAAAATCAAAATTGTGCTTGAATTTATTTCTATGTATGACTTGTGCATTTGTAAAATTGTTATTTATGAGGTCTCTTTTGTGGTCATAGATGCGTTTTTTTGGAAACTCTAAAAATAGACAAGCAACATAATGAAAACCAACCAACTCCATCACGTTCAGTATTCAGAACAACCTATCCCATCTAAATAATCACAAACACTTCCAAAACCATTATGGATATAATCAGATCCTGAAACACCCGTAGCAATAATATTTCTGAAGTAGGCATTTATAAAATAAGTTGCCAAAACTGTTCTTCCCAATACATTGGAGAAACATGCAGAAACTTAAAAAAAAAACAACAAAAAACGGACATTTAAACAAAGATATTCACTGTCAAAGATGATATTCTGTTATGTTGACATGGAAGATTGCTATGCGATGATGACAGTCATGGAATAGTAGACACAGGTTGTAAATTCATGATGCAGTTCTATGACGTACCACATGAGACACCGAAATATTAACAACAGAACAAATGTTGGACAATTTTTGTCTTTATTTTCACTCAAAATTAAAGCAACCAAACAAAGTTTAGAATGGTTCATGATAAAAACATAATAAACATATTCATTGTCTGTTATAATAAACTAGGTACCTCCATGAAATCACTAAAAAAAAAGAGAGCATAGTCTGATGAAAAAGACGCCAAACTTTATGAAAACAAAATTTTATCGTCTTTGGTCTTTCCTCTTCATAAAAACATAAGTTTTTTTTTTAATTATTTTAAAAATTTTTTCCTTCTTTTTAGAACATTCTAAATTTTGATTAAAAAAAACTTTTTTCTCTTTGTACCAACCAGAACTAGTAAATAACAGACAATTTTTAGCACGTTTTTTTTTTGTATTACACACATTAATTTGGAAAATCTTGCAAAAATAAAAATAATTGTCGGATGTTAATGAAACTTTCAGAAACTATTCACAGATGATCGAAATTATTATAAATACATTTTTTTTTATTAAAGTCATGGCAGAAATATGTTTTTTTTATATTTATTAAAATTATTAACACCCCCATAATTAATTTTATGAAAAACTCTAGTAATTTGATCGCATCAATTTTAGTGATTACAATAGTTAAAAGCACAAAGCTTTGAAGAATGCAAATCATGTTTTTTTTTTTAATTGGATCTGCAGTACCTGAAAATTAGCTCTGAATTGTAACATACAAAAGTCAATAAAACAAAGATACTATTTAATTTCAAATGCTTTTATTTGTTTTTAGTTGTTTTTATGAATATGGACAATATTTTCTGAAAGCAAAAAATTTTTTCAATGAAAATTGAATTTTTAATACAGTTATTTGTTATTTCTTTAATTATAATAGATTTTTACATTAAGTTTTTAAAACATATTATAAAATTAGTTAAAAGCCACATCGGTTTTTCTAAGTGTCCTTATGAGATAGATCATTGTCTAGCACTTTGAAAATTGTATCATTTGGACCAATCAGAAGATCCACAGTAATTAAGAAATGTAATTTTGTGTTTATAATCGGGCAGTAATTATAAAGTACAGAAGACCAACCAGAATACAATTAAGTTGCATTATTTGAGTTCAGCATTGTTCTCTGCTGTTAAGGCCTTTACTTTTGCGAAGTTAATTTGATTTTTCAATTTCAACTGAGAAGGGTACCTACAAGTATCAGTTATCATCTTATGAAATTTAACTACTGCTAAACTTTAATTTATATGATCTTATTTTTATATTATATTTCAGTTATGACATTTTTCCATAAATGAAATATCAAAATTAATAATAAAATGAATGGAAATACAAATAACACAGTAAAATGTAATAAATGTACATAAAATTATAGTATTTTATGTACACTTCTGATAAAATTTCATAAGAAAGGTACCTATAAATTAATTAGATACCTTTCTTATGAAATTTAATCTCACTCTTAACAGTCTTATTTTTTAATTTCTTTATATTTTCCATAAAGCATCGTAAACGTAAAGATGAAAGCTAAGTACAAAAAAAAAAAAAATTAAAAATTAGAGCGCTGAAAGTTTTCCTTAAAAGTAACGAGGTAAATAACTTGTTCACTTAAATCTAAATAATTTCACTTCCTTCCATCGGTAGAAAGAATTATCCTCCCATAAGTTATCTAAACGTCATGAAAATGTCTTTTGTCACCTGCCAAATGATGTGAAAGGTTTGTTTTATTTTCAAATTACATTTTTTTGGTACAGAAGCTAAGTTAAGCTTGGTTCAAAATATTTTAAATAAACATTATAATTTCTGATTCTATTAAAATAAGTTTTGAAAAAATGATAATTGATTTTTAAAAGAATGTCAAAGTGAGATTTTCATCTTTTTTATAAAATGGAAAAAAATGATTGAAAATGATGGATTATCTGTCCTTTATTTTTTTTTTTTTTTTGACAAAAAAAAACAAGATTTTTAACTAAAATTTCGGACTTGCTAGGAATGATTAAAAAATGTAAAAAAATAGCCCCAAAAATACTTTAATCTTTCCTCTTTAATAATAATATGAACATTAGATGATAAAATTATGTTTTCGTCAAGTTCGGTGTCTTTTTCATCATGCTATGCTCTTTTTGTTTACACTTCATAGAGGTACCTATATTAAACAATATATGTTTAAATAATGATCTGCTGCCCCAATACACTTTATATATATATATATATATATATATAAAATTTCCATAATATAGATTTTACATTATTAGCTACTATATTTCTCTAACTCTTCAAATGTTGAATGTATAACTAATTCTAATTTTTATATTTCCATTTTTACACCATATTAATTATGTCTTATAACTGTCCCGTTCTAAGAACTGTCTTTCTTTTTATCAATGTACACCTCTTTATCTATATATTTTAGGGTTGTTTTTAAATTAATTTATCTTTAAAATTAAAATTTTATTTATTTATTTCATTTTTATTTCTAAATGTATAATTTATTTTATCCTATTATATTTTTATTTCTAAATATTTTTTTATTCTTTAATATAACCTATTGATTTTATATTAAATATAAACTTTTTTGTATTCTAAAGCAAAGTAAACAGATAAAGTCTTTCCATTCAAGTAATAGTAGCCCTGGGTGACAATTTATACCAATTTTAGTATTTACCATATAATTTTCAAAGGTGAAGGTCATTAAAAAAAAAATGAAACAGCAATCATTTTCTTTGTTGTAAAATAATGACAAGTAATAAAAAAGCAACAAAAAAAAGAAATACAAGTTAAAAATAATAATCAACAATGTTGCATCTCAGAAATGCAGACTATTACTACTTGATGTAAAAGCATTTTGTCTGACAAAAACAGTAGCTTATTTATTTGGTTTAAATTAAGTGAAATGTCAAGAGAGATTAACTAAGCTCATATTGGTTGCTGACAGTGTGTGAATAATGGTGTATTCAGTAAGAGTCAGAATTCCTATGCTAAGGGTGTTCCAATAACTTGGACTAATTTTAAATGTAAATTAAGTGTCTAATGATTTTTTTTCTTTCAGATTTAACAATTTAAGTCTTTTGCAATGTAAAGATAAACAATCAAACAAGTGTTAAAGTTTCAAAAATGCAATTGGAAAAATTGTCCGTAAATTCAAACAAACTGGGTCGGTGGCAGATGTGAAAACACCATTCTGTGCTCATTTATGCCGTTTAGCTGAAAACATTGCTGCAGTGCATGAGAATATGGCCGAAAATCCAGACACCTCTATTCGTCGTCGCGCGCAGGAATTGAACCTCTCCACAACAATATTACATCATTTCCAATTTCCCTCTCGGTTGGTTGAATATGTTGACCCAAAAAATCATAAAGTGCGCGAAATCCATTCCTGTTTGAATGTCCATTTTCATAATAGGCTTCGGTAACTTTAACACATTGATTGATTGGCAATTTTAAACATAGAAAGATTAACAAAGACTTAAATTGTTAAATCTGAAAGAAAAAGAAAAAAATAATTAGATGTTTAAACTTAATTCACATTTAAAATCAGTCCAAGTTATTGGAATTCCCTATATATATATATATATATATATATATATGTATATATGCAGCAAGTGTTCATTTAGACAAGTTTATTATTAAACAGATTGAGCTACTTTAATCTAACTTACCTGATTCTGATTGATTTCCTTATGATGGGTTATTTGATTTTGTTTAACATCATA